CCACAGGAAAAACTTATTGATTATACTAAATGTTTCAAGACATATTTAAAAGAAAATAGAGCCTTTTATCTAATTTGCTAAGGTGCCAGTTCAAATTTAGATCAGGAATGTGAATTTTTACTGTTTATTGCATGATTGTATTGCCAAACTGTTTAGAACCCTACACTTCCAAATGGGCATAAAGGACTAAAAATGACCTACTACTTTGATTCTTGATTTAATCCTCTTAAATTAGGTGGCAGCATAATTTTTGAAAACGGTTTTGATGTTACTCCTGTGTTTTGGTTAATTTTACTCTCCAACTGGGAATGGCGTACGTTCAGTTGTTTTACTACCAATGCTGATGGGCAACTAATAAAGCATTTGTAGAAAAACAGCCAACTCCCTGAGTGAGGTATACTGAAAATCAGATTAACTCTACAAACACATCACCCTCTTCATTTATCTTCATCTTAAAAAAACAAAAAGGCAATCCAAAGAACAGAGTGATTAACTTTGGTAGAATAACTCACAACAAAGTGCTTTTTGCAGTCTTCGGATTTTGATTGCTGTACGGTAGGCAGAGAAACGTACATTATTCAGGTCAGCTGAAACAGAAAAGGGAAACAATTCGAAAGCATGCTTATAATTTAACTTATATCAAATGACAGCAATGTTTTTGCTCACTTCGGATGATGGAAAAATATCATGTCTGTCCATAATAAAAAGTCTTCTCTTAAATTCTACAACATGTACATAAGAAAATAATTAATTGATCATTAGCACCATGTTTAAATACATTTAAAAGCAGTACTACATAGAAAGTTCCAAGAAATCATTTTCAAATAGGTGTCAGGGTCCAGAACATGATGATATTCCAAACTTCCGCACCTTGAGTCAAGGTGCTGAGTACTTTGAATTGGAGGAGGCTGGAAGGTATCAGAAATAGGGTCTTTCTGACCTTCTCCCATCCTGCTGTCTCATGTCCCTTCTTCTCTCACTGAAGTGATTCATAGAAATCATAATTCTTCTGCAAGACTAGTCATAGGAACCAGAACTCTTCTTCCCCAAAGCAAGTCATAAAACCTAGAAAGGTTACTCCTTCCTTTCTCCTTTCTCTCTTGAAGACCCCCATTCCAGAGGGGTCCTGCCCCATACCCAGGAAGAAGGAATGTTACACACGGAGGCCAAGAAGAATCTGAGCAGACAGGCCTTGCTGGGTTTTCCCCCACAATCTGTTCCCATTAGATCCTATCTGATGGAGTTTGGATGTATTGTCTTCCCAGAACTCATGTAGAAATCTGATCCCCAATGTGGCAGATTGAGTCGGGAGGGCAGATCCCTCATGAATGGATTAATGCTCTCTCTGGGGGTTGGGGGAGTGAGCGAGTTCTCACTTTATTAGTTTCCATGAGAGCTGGTTGTGTAAAAGACACCGGCACCTTCTCTCTCTCTTGCTTCCTCTCGCCATGTGATCTGCTTGTACCCACCGGCTGCCTGCC